TCTGCTTTCCATATATACCCTGGGAGCAATTTTGTCTCTGAGCTCACACACAAACTAACTTCACTTAATGAAAATGTACTGAAATTATGCAGGTTATTTTTAAGTCACTCACTTATCTGAGATTGGGTGTAAAATACCTGTCTGTTCAGAAGTCCCAAAGTCTCTGCATTCACCTAGGACTGTAGGCACAATATTTTCCCCCCTAAGAGGGGAATAAAAATGCTTATTTGTAGTCAAGAACAATATTTGAATGAAAATTTAACTTCAAGTTAGAAAACGCATCCAGAACTGCATCTCTTGACTTTCCTTCCTTATCTGACAAAGTAAATGCTTTAAAATTAAACACATTCATCTGCCCCCAATGGAAAGATATATTTCCTCATTCAGCCTGAAAAAGCTAGGTTTTCAACCCTCATAATGCTCAGCCCTTGAGCGTTTAAAAAACTGTATGCAAGTAGATAGGTTCAAACATCTCCAGGTACCAAATAATAAAGAGCACGTGCTCCAAGGCTTCCATTGGTTTCTCTACTGCCCACGGAGCACAGGTTAGAGATTCCTTAGTCAGCAAAAGGCAAAGTGTTACAGCTGTATTAGCTCAGATATCACTCTAAGGTACCTGCACAGCTACTGGGCTCAAACAGCCTAGCAAGGACAATACAGCCCATGCAGAGGCTGCTGACCGTGAGTCACACCAGCACGAACAGGAGATACGTCTTGAGCCCAAGCATATAAGCTCAGCAGGAGCCATGCTTGGTGGTGGTGGTGTCAGTGCAAGTGGGTGCCTAGAGAAGAGGTGGCAGTAGCATAAGAGGTGGGAAATGAGAAGGCCACAGGATACTTCTGGAAAATGGGTTATGCAAGTAAGAGGGAAGGGAGCATATGAGGAAACAATAATCAATGGTGGGGTAAAAGAAGAGCACGGAGAGAGAGTAGTACCAGTGAGGCTTACCTGAAAAAACATCAAAGACCACTAGCCTAGAAGGTAGAACCTTGGCCTGGGACTCAGGAAACAGGAACTGTATTCTTGGCTCTGCTGTGGACATGCTGGGTTACCTTGGTATCAAATTTTTATGCCTCATCTTTTGTTTCTGTGACATTATCCCCTTTTTAAAGTGTTCTGAGATCAAAAGAGTAAAAGCAGTATTTAAGTAGGAATAGTTCTTAGAATCTATCTACTCAGAATTAAGGCACTAAAGGAGAGAAGCATCTCTCCATTATTCAAAAGATGCCATGTTTCCTTGCCTGCAGAAGAGCACAATGCCCCTACAGGAATCCCTTTTCTTTTGTACTTTCAAAGCAGAGGATTATTATGGAAAATGAATAAGCACCCACACAGTTAAAATGACAGAGCATCTTCATTACTGATCGGCAACTCCTCTGCTGCCCGAATTTAGGTACCACATGTCTTAATGCATTCAAATCAGTAAAAACAAAACAAAAGCTAAACTCGTTTGACATTTGCAGCAAAAATATAAAATCATGTCAGAACATAAAAAATCTCCTAACTCCCAGTCCCACTTCTAAATATAAAAAAATGTAAAAACGCAGAGTCTTACAGCAAAGTGTTCACATACAGTTAAAAGATTGTGATGACCAGGGAGTACTGGAAACACATTAAATTCAAATTCTGCAATTTCCACTGACAAAATCTTGATCCCTAAACCCTGCAGACAGAACTCTCTCCAAGATTTCATTGCATCTGAATAAGAAGGTGGTCCACAGGCAAACCAACCTGGAAATAAATAAGAGATGAAAATGAGTTGCGAGGCCAGCCAACACAGGAATTTAACTTAGACTCGATCCCTTCCCAACTTGCAAAGGCTCATCCGAAAATGAAATGAAATCCAACATGTCACGAAATACACACTGAGGAAGTTTTGCAAAATAAACATCATCTCTGAATTTTCTCATGCCCACAGCCAGCTTTTATTCAGGAATAACTACTGTATTGCTCTTGTTTCTAATCAAGCTGAAAAATGTGTTCTCTCAGTAATATCTAAATTTATGCTTCCTCACTCTCCCCACAGGTAACACGTGGTTCATCCAGGTCATAATTCAAATACAGAGACCATTTTCATTGCTGAGTATTTTTAGTCACATACTCTTTCTTCATGTTAATGGGCAAAAACTGCCTCTGAATTAAAAACAGGTGAATGTTGAGACAACTGACAGATGAATCTGAATGAAATGCACAAACAGCTGAAGAACATACCTTACTTGAGTCCTTTCAACCTCTAAATGGGTTACAAAATAACAATGGCTTTACACATACAGTTTCTCCAAATTAACTTCAAAGGCACGTATGGTAAACACCTCCCTTTACAGTTATTTTTTGGGACATTCATCCAACAGAAGGCCATTTCCACACAACCAAAGCATTTTAATTCAAGGCTATCGAATCATTCTTTCTAACATGGAGACCAGCATTCTAACAATACCAGCACTTAGCAGGAATTAAGAATAGCACAAAAGCTAAAAGAAAAGAACAAAGCATGAACTACCTCCTTTTCTGCACATAAATCGACAATGACATGTTGATAGTCCAAATGTCCAGTTATTTTTGTGTCAGCAAAAGAGTTTTCAGCAAATTCAGTGTAAGCTCCACTTTTCAATTGTGCACATTTTTAAGTGCAATCAAAACCATAGAAGATAATTCTCTACCACAGGCTGCATCCATTCCCAGCCTTTGGGAAGCAAGACTTAGGTTTTCTGCTTCAGTATTTTCTTTTTCCATTTTCAGAATTTTCTGCTGCTCTGAACTATAAGCTGCTAGTAAACAGCACAACCATGACTTAAATACTGATTAAAAATTCTGGAACCTTTTTTAAAGAAAATATCTAGCTAAAAGAAAAAGCACAAGATTTGCCATATGCCATAAAAATATCAAAATTCCTAGGACAAAACAGGGGACTTTTTGGTCAAAACATAACATTGTAATTTCAGTGACAAATATCTGTCATCATCGTGATTTCTAATATAGGGGGAAAGGAAGTGGAAGTCCCAAAATTATTTAAGTCTTGTTTAAATCATATCCAGAGTTCAAGGACTTTAATAGATAAAATAGTAAGTATCTGATTAAGTGCTGGACTAGGTCATAGGCCTGATCTAAAGATTTCTGACTGGAAGGCAAAGACAGATGTTGCTGTTCCAACTGAAGAGAGCTGGAAATTTCAAGATGTCCTACGAATGAGAAAGAAAACCCACTGGAGGTCAACAATTCATATTAGTATTAATAAACAGTGGGAGAAGGGGAACAATAACATCCAAGAAATCCAATAGCTTGCCCCTCATCTCAATCTCAACGTGCTGCAACACCAGTGTGACTATTCAGTCTTCAGGACCTGTATCTTGAATCTCTCTTCCCCCTCTGCCCTCCTTTTCCCCTGTGTTTTAGCTGACTACATCAGACTCTCTACCGCCATTCATTTACATGTTTTTCCATGGTCACCCTTCTCCCATAAAATCAAACTATCTCCTTTGTCTGTTTTCCATCCTCATCTTTAAGTATTATGACTCAAAAAATGTCATATAAACCAAAATCAAATCACGTTCTTTCCTTCCCCCTCAATTTCCCTATGCTCAGCCATGTAGCAGAGCAAAACCTCCTGTCATTCACGCAGAAGTGACCTTTATGACAGTTGCAGATGGCAAGAACTAGTTAGTCACCAACAGGACTGACAACATACAGATAGGGGACGGAAGCCAGTTTCATGTAAGAACTGGCGACTGGGCAAATGGGAAGAAAGGCAGACTGAATTTTTTTTTCAAATGAACACGCTTCAAATACAGGGTCTGGCATTTTAAGCAGGAAAGCATCAAGTCACTCAGGAATGCTACACAAAGTCAAATAACATCAGTGACTGCCAAATGGCCTAAACAAATCCTCCAAGAGGCAGAAGCTTCTGACACAACACACACAATCTTCCCATCAACGTTCTTTAAAATGGAACAGAAGTGTCTTGCACAAGTTCACATGGACGTTGCATGAGTAATAACTGCAGCTCTCCTATGATTTCAGGCAGCAGAAGTACACACAACAGCTTCCTTCTCCCCCTCCACCCAAGAGCCTGACAGGTCTCTGGACTGACGGTCAACAGCTCACAACTTGTTCTCCAGCAAAGCTGCGGTATTAGGTTGACCTCTTACCCCTCATGAATGTCAGCTCATTCACAGGTTTGCTTGTTTTCAGAAAATGAGAGGGGAGAGCACAGACACTTGTTCCACTGCTTTTTATATATACTACAAACCTTATCAGCATATTTGCATCTGAGCATGAAGGCAGAATGCTAACCTAAAAGGCTTTCTTTGTTTAGCACTGAAGACCTGCATAAAGAAGTCTGTCTTCGCGTGCACTGCAGAAGCATTGGCACAGCACACTGGCTCTGCATTTTGCCTTGCAGAGTCTGACCTTCTCCTTGGTCTCGGGACACCAACAGGCAACAATCACGAAGCTCTGGACACCAGCAGCAAGGTGCTTTCATCACTTGACGAGGAGCTTTTCACTGTCTGCTCCCTTTCTTACAGTGGAAAGCCTTAGCCCATTTTGTACAATGTTTTACTCTGCAAAAAAAGCATACTGACATAAAAACCAGGGCATTCATTTCTGAATGAACAAGCAACAACTTGTTTGTGACATTCAACCATGTACCATCTACAATGAATTATTATTCAGTCTTCATACTACAGCAACTTCCAGAAGTCCTGACTGATGACAAAGCATTTACTGTTCAAGACAAGTCAAGCTCTCAAGACAAGTCATTATTTCCCAAAGTTTTCAATCTATGTACGCAAGACAAAGGAGAGAAAATGTAGTTCTCACTCTTTCAAAGATGAAGATCAGATGCAGATATGAAACACAAGATCAGGACCAGGAACAAATCAAAGTATCAAAGAATAATCAAGTAATCAAAGAAATCCTTTCTTTTCTCCTTATCAACCCAAATCACTCTTTGCATTTCGAAAAGTGTGTTTGTGTTACAGATGTGAAAAAGCAAACAACATTTCAAATAACCAAGTCACATTTATTTGTTACATAATTTTTTTGATTCCTCTGAAATGAACTGCTGCAGCAGCACGCAGAGTCAAAATACGCTCAGTACAGTAACTCCTATGTTACAGGGCACACATACTAGCTGTGATTAACCAAGGAACAGAATCATTTAGAGGGTCTGATTACTGAAACAAGATAACATATTTATTAGATACACAGATTTTGGAGAAGAACAAAGGCAGAAACCTCAGCCAGAACTGCCAAAAAACCATGACAAACCATTCAGTGCTCTGGTATCTAGAAAACAGCATTGAGGAGAGTCAATAAATAGCAACTAGGATAAGTAAAAAGTGCAAGAAGTCACAGCCCAGAACAGTATATTGCCATGAAGAACTACAACCAACATATGGATTAAAAACCCCTCACTTTACAATAGGAGTCTCACTTCCAAACTTTTTGCAGAACCCATCTGGTTCTTACAGATTCTTTCAGTATCTGTAATATGGTTGTTATAATCAGCTTCATAGTCAGTTCAAGTTTCTCATCCATTGAATAGGAAAAGAAAATGCCTTTGAAAATTAGGCCATGAACTGTAACTGCTATTAAACCAACAGGGGAAAAAAAGCCCTCACAGCCCATATTACTACCTTAATTCCTTCCCCCTAATGTGTAAGCTGATATATCATTAGAAAGTCTTCCTGTCCTATTTCTCTGAGTATTTTGCAATTCTCTAAGTCTTCTTCCCTGGCAAGCCTGCTTTAAAAACTAAACTACTATTTAGCAAGATGAGGTCTTATAAAAAGGTGCATTTACCACACAGTAGTATTCTCTATATTTAGAACTTGAAATACATCAAATACCACACCAAATGTAACTATCGTGGGTGGCAAACATCCAGTTTAATGGCATCCACTGTACTTGTGTGAAAAACAGTCTTAAAAATAGCTTCCAAAATTCTGCTTAATATAGGCAGCTAATAATATCTGAAGATAATATACACTTTTTCATTTCTCCTACCAAGCGTTAGGCCTACCTTCTCTGCCGTGCACTCACCTGGAACAAGTACTGTGGGCATGCTCTGAACAGTAGCTCAGCTGGGCTGTGAAACAGATGTGAGAACTAACCTGAAATTATAAGGAGCATTCTGGTCTGCCCTTTAGGCTGGAGAACCTGTAAAAACTTTCTGCTCAGACTTTGAGGTCTTTGTATTCAAAGGCAGGTGGAAATAGAGGAGTCACATCAGGTCGAACTGTCCTCAACTGCTACAACTAACTTAATCCCTTTGACGAGAACTCTTCTATTGTTTCAAAAAGCTCTTAGAAGTTTTTCTTCCCTAAGCAGTAGCTTCAGAAACTTCAGGTTTGGTTTGCAAGTTAATGATAATTCACGCAGATCTGCATCCCTGTAAATCTCTAATAAACTGCTGTCTGGCACAGAAGATAATCATTCAGAAATATTGCTGTTTTCACGGTTTAATCAAGATATAGCTAGTTCAGAAGGGCCTCGTTTTCCCCTTTTGCCAGCCTTCTAAATTATATCTCCTCGGTTGTTTTTTTTTTAAATCCTAGTCTTCTGTTTAAAATGAGTGTATGCATCTATTTACGTTCACTGGCATTTCTCTGTGATGCAAACTAGGTTTTCTGAGATGCTGGGAGCTCACAACTCCACTAGAAGTTGGCAGGCGTAACACATGCTCGCTAAGCATTACGCAAAGGTACAATAATAAAAGACTAGAAGGTCCCTATGTCTCCACCTTCTCAGATCATTTCCTCAGGCTGAATTTATACCCCAATGATAAGTGATTAAACAGTCAGTTTCTTCCTTAAGATTTCTCCAAAGAACAAGTCATTATTTCTTCAATGGCATTGCATTAAGGCCAAATGTTTGTGATTCTATCTGTGGGTAAGAAAGTCAATTCCTGTGAAAAGGACCCATGAAACAATTTTTTAATTGTTCCTTTTAGTCTTAGAAAAATCTTCTGTACTTTCCAACTATTGTGTAATCATGGGCAATCCTCTTGTAGCACTTCAGAGCTACGCAATCCAAAGACATCCATCCACATGCACGATGTTATGATTTCTGGTGCGCTGAGTCTAATGTGGAGTTTGACAAAGAGCCATGGAGTGTCCTGCTCCACATCCAATCAAGGTCTGTTTTGTGTAACCAAGAGCTTTGACTGTCTTTGGGACATGAATATTTGCTTCTGTGCCATCACCACACATCCCATGTTCGTTCCATCCCCAAGAGAAGCACTGGCCACCTAAAAGAGAAGATACAAAAAATAGAATAAAGACCACAGAAACACAATAGCTTTAGTTAGCTTTAGGAAGCAGATTTGTCAAGTCATCTTCCAGTTAGGTTCTAAGAAATTCTGCTAAGGTGGGGAAAAATATTCAGTTTCTCTTGAACATGTAAATAAACCCAGATGAATTATTCTCTATCTTGTTCCATATTGTTAACAACAGATTAGGAGAGATTAAAATAACAGACACATTTGAAAATCACTTAGTAAATGCATGGTTCAGTATTTACACAGAGCCCACAGAAGTCTCTGCATTTTAAGGACCTTCCCTGAAGAGATGAAACTCTAGTGATTGTAATCATTCACAGCATGATCTGCAGGACTGGGAAACACAGAGCAGCCAAATTACATTTCATTCCTACTTTCAAGTTCACATCTCACCTTTTTCCTTTAAATGCAAGTATCTGACAGCTTGCCTTACTGTTAACCATCCTACCTCTTCTGCTTGCTTTGACATCATTTCACTTACTTTATTATCCCTATTTTCCCTCATTGTTATTTTTTTTTGTAACATCTACTCTTTTATATCCCAAATCATGATCTCTGTATTACTATTACCCCATAGTACTCTTTCTTGAAGCACAATATGTAAATTTTGTTCTATAAACGGCTGGCATAATAAAAAATCCACCCAAAACCCCTCTCCTTCTCAACTACAAGAGATAGTTCTTCCCTATTTTCTTTATTTGGCTGTCACAGACTGTGCCTGTGAATTTCTGTAATAATAAAAAAGAAAGCCATCCTGAAATATAATCATGATTCTGATGCCATTGTTATTTTTGAAAAACAGCAGGTATTAACAGCATGAAGTAATGAAGCACCATTCTCAAGTCCAAATAATGAGAGGAAAAGTGCCAAAATTCACAAAATCCAATCCCAACCATAATTGTAAAATAATTTTACTTTTCAAAATTCAGAAACAGATTATTGCAAAGCTAGCAGGACCATCTTTCTTTCCTGCATATCCAATAACATTTCATTGTTATCTGTTTTCTTTAGATATTACTACATTAAAGTTCTCCTCTTCTTTAATTGAATGTAAACATTACTGAAGTCAGATTTAATTAAACAAGGACCTCAATTTTTCTTGACAATCTTTAAGGCAATGAACACAACAAAAGACCATTAGAACGTCACAGTAGGCTAGATACATCTCCCCAAACACAGCAATTCTGTGATTCTTATCCTAGAAGGCATCAGATTTTCTCCTGACTATGCATGCATAATACTGACAGCCCAACTTTGTCACAAATACACATATATGTGCATATATGCACATATATGTGCAGCAGAAAAGTACCAAAAAGTAAAGTTTAAACATCAACAGATCAGAACATCTCAAGAGGTTAATTGGAAATTTTTTGGTAAGGGTCTAGGTAAAAATCTTTCTGTAAATATTAGCAAGCAGGAAAAAGGCATCACAAACCAAGACTAAAGACACATCACCGAACAATTATTCAGGGAAAAAATTCAAAGAAAGAAAACCATCTGCATCTAAGAAAAGGCAGTCTTTTGCAAAGTTAATATGTGGAAACTGCAGAATAAGCTTACTTGGAGTGGGAAAAATTCCAAGTTTAATGAAAAGGGAATATAACATGCCTTTACATTAAGAAGCTGACAGTGGTAAGCTTTTTGTTACTAGACCATTAGCAACCAGTACAACAACTTTCCCAATTTGTATGGAGACTCACTACCTCCGACTAAAGGATTTTTTTAATTTTTTTTTTCATTCTGTCCCATCAGGACAAGAGAGAGGAAATCAGAATTTTTGGTCACCTTGAATTACGAACTGCTCAATGGAACATTAATGGCATAATAAATATTTAAAGAAACAATACAGTAGAATATTAACCTATCAAACTGGTATCCAGTCAAACATCTTTTGGAAATAAAAAAAAATCACAGAAAGATTTACAAGCTAGGAAACCCCCAGACAAGAACATCTCCCCTAAAATAAGGATCACAGCCTTTTCCAGCCTTTACTTCTCCAAGCACGTAGCAAGGCCACGAAATAGATCTTTCTACCTGACTCTGGTGAGCTTCAAGATTACTGAAACTGGCCGAGAGTGAAAACTGGCAAAAGAATAAGAGGGTTTATGAATGTCCTTACACCAAAATGCCTCGTACATATATGGAAAACCAGACAGAAATCTGAAAGGATGAAAGGGCAGCTGACAAATACAGAGTGACAGGCCACGAAAATGATTCTCATCACCATCAAGTCAGAAGTCGGGAAAGCTAAAAGGCAGAGAATTACTGTTGTGAAAATACAAGGTATACTATACCACATCTGCCTGCAGAAGATTTAGAGAAAGGTTTGTACATTAAAAAAGTCAGATTGTAGATTTGTGTCAGAGAAAATAGAATTAGCAGAAAACACAGAGAGTCCATTTTTTGGTAATAACATATTAACAAAACTTGGAGGAGGGCTAGGCAAAATGACTGCAGTGACATTGGCCAGGGGGTAATAAGTGGCTATGTGAATCACTGGCACAGAAGTTGAATTCAATGAAAATCGAAGATAACGAAGCACCTATTAAAAAAATGTCATAGAAGGAATGTCATAGAAGCAGAGTTAAGGAAAGGCCTTCATTAATGGGAACTAATGGCTAGCCTCTGGACAAAGGGCACAATTTCATTTCAATTCTTTGTCCATTCCCCATATTCCCCCCCCTTCTTTTTCGCTTGTTTTCTTTTTGATTGCTTCTATTCTCAGTTTATTGCTGATAAAAACCTCAACGCAGCCCCAGCAGCCCTACATGCTTTCATGAAAAAATTCAATTTTTATGCCTGTGCCAGACCTTCCTAAGATGAAAGACCATTAGAATGATCTGTATTAATACAGCCACAAATTGCTTCTAACTAAATTTAAAATAATGATTTGTGATTGGTGAGTTGAGGAGTGAAAGTTGCTCCATGTTACTGGTTAAATGAAATAGCACAATACATCGCATTCACCTTTTCCCTTTTAAAACATAAATACTCAAAGTACAAATGAAACCACAGCACTCACATAGCGACACAGCACAATCTCAAGGAAATTTCACTTGAGTTCACAGCCACATTAATGAAAGCCTAGAGAAAGACTATGTGGGTTTTTCCCTCAAACAGTAAGCATACAGAAAGTGGGGAGAAAAAAAACCTTAACAAATCTGTCTGTTTTGGTGACACAAACCAAGACGGGACTACTGCCCTCCTCCTGTTTGCAATAATTATCTAGGCTTTTTTCAAGGTAACTGAAGTGACAACTACAATCCAGAGATAGATTAAATTGATGAAAAGTAATTCTAGGTAAAATAAAGCTGCAGAATATTGGACAGTGGACAGGATTTTGTGGAAAGTAGAGGACTTAGACTTGCTCTTCATTGCTGAGTATCCTGTTCTTCAAATGAGAAGAATCAATGTTAGCAAGTAAGACGTTCTGGGTGAGATTCACTGCGCTTCACTTCAGCCACATAAAAATCAAGCAACTTAGCTATAGATCATTATCCTCCAGTTTTCCTCAAGAGGCAATGGAGTCATCTACACCTCTCCAACAGGCAATTGATCTTATCCAAACACTGTGGTGTCAAAATCAAATCTATCTCACTATATATCTCACTATAGTTGGAGACCAAGCGATTGTCTTAGCCTAGGCATATCAGTTTTAAAGAGCTGAGATAAATACATCCTTACCATTGATCTGAAGGCAAAGCAAGGGAAACTGGAAACAAGGAAGCTACAAACATTACTGCAGCTGAGTTTCAGGCTACAAACAGTCTGCTTCTAAGCCAGCCTGTGCCTTGAGGGCTTATCACTGAGATCTTTAAAAGCTTGTTTCTCTTGTGCTTCTCCTTTCCCACTTTTCCAATCACACAAACAAACAGAAATTGGCTTTAAAGACAACCCAAGTGTCTTGAAGCCAAGACATTCAACAGACAGCTTCATGTTTTAAGGTTCCGTTAAAATGTTTTAGCCAGCTCTGCTGTATAGGCTCTGTGCTCTTAGCAACACTCCACATTAATTCAAATTAGTGCTACTCTACAGATGGTTATAGATAAAGTTATAGTAGGCAAGAGATCAGATCGGGCAAGTCAAATGACTTTAAACACTGCGAGGGCTGGACCACAAACAAAATTCAGGTGTCTCCCATCCTCCCTTGACTACTTGCAAGCATTTAAAACCTCACAAGGAACAATGTAGCGCCACATAGAAGGAGATTTAGACCATACTTCTCCCAAGGATTTGCAAAACACAAGTGAACAAACCTTCCTGTTTTCAGGACATATGGCAATTCAGAGTGTCATGTAAAATAAAAGGAAAGAAATATCCCTCTAAACTTTTGTATTTTTGTTAGCAACAATCCTGTCATTAGCACAAAAGATTTGCAATTTTGGAATATAAGAAACAGGGTTGATAGCAATTGTTTTATGCAGAAAAACATGGAAACACACTATTAACTAAGAGGGAAGCCTAAGCATTCTGCAAAGTCTTACAAAAGGCAAAGTTTGGTAAATGGAATATAAGATGATGTGATCCCCAGACACTATATGGTACCTCCAAAAGCAGAAAACAACTGAGAAATTAATACAGTGCCAGTTTTATTATGGAGCTACATTTATAGCCACATTTTCAAGGACTAAGCTGTTGTGCACTCCAGGCAGCCCATCCAACTGCTGCTGGAGTTGCTCAGGACCACAACCCAAAGAAATACGCATCTGACTTTATAGTGAGTAAGCTGGATAAAAATCACAGGCATTGCAGTGCTAACAATATACAGATAGGAAACAACACACATTTTTGATATTAAATACAAAGTCATGGTGCTAAAGACATGCTGATTTCAAAATTAGCCTCCAGCAAACAATCTGTCCTTGCTCCACCTTTACATCATTAGCCGCTCTCCCCAGGCAGCAGACCTAGACCACTCCGTCCCCTCCCCAGCAGTGGTTTTACAGAAGTGAAAAAATCAGATGACT